CACATGCATTTCGTGAACTAAAATATCTTGTTAGAAGCCAGAAGGCCTTCCTACTATTCACTCGATTGACGTTGGTCAATTTCCATAGATACATAACCAAGATCACTTGAATAAATCTCGATAGAATTGCTGAATAATTTACGGCATTTAACTTGGTCGTGCTTTCGAAGATGAGCATGACCAGAAGATAAAATTCGGCGAGATACGCATGCGCGAGGAGCAATTTAGCCAATAGAATGCGTTGGAATTGATAATTTAGTCGTGCTGGCCTGACGAGAGCACGACTAACGGGCGGGTTACCCATTAGTCGTGCTATTAACCTGCGGTCGGGTGAAACTACGCAACCATACCTTGAATTGGTTTAAAATCATGGCAAAATCACCGGATTTGAAGGGATTTCGCACTTAATAGATGACGCAAGTGTACGACGAATCATTTTTAAAATTTTGGGGGAATTTTTTTTTAAGACTAAAAAATTCTTTTCTTTGAAAAAATTTTACTCGTGCTCAGCACGACTAGCACGACCTCTAGCTTCGCCACTGATTTCAAGAAAGTGCTAAGAACAAATTACCTTCATGGGCAAAATACCATTGTTCTGAAGAAATACCTATTGGTGTGCATAGTTTAATACTTTTTAAAGAACTACTCGTTAGCTGAATACCTAACCTGTGATCAGGCGTTAGCTGAACACCATGCATGATACAGATTAGATTAGATTGTGGATTTTCAGTTCTGGTGTTATTTACTTGACACCATTGACTTTCACAAGAAAGTGTTAAGAGTATAATCCAGGAAAAGATCACTTGGTTAAAATATTCCAAAAGCTGGGCAGTGTGGTATCCTTTTAATGACTGCTCAGAAGATGAATACCAGAAACATGTCATTACAATGATTTTAGTATAGTGTACAAAACACGAACGACTTAAAGTGCATATGCAATATAATTTCACATATTTAATTTCACAATCAAATATACATATATATTTTGCCAAAATTTTGCACCTCGCTATTCTGTAGATATTTCGCAATGTTTGACATGCAAATTACACTATGATGTCTAATTGCTTAATAATTTACTGAACAAAAATAAAAAAATCCTCAGACTTTGAGAAAGCACAAAACTAAAAAGCCCTACAACCTTTTTATCGGCAATACAAATGATACATCATATTGAGGTTCATTTGCCCATTGAACACAATCCTAATTTATATTATAATGTCAGATCTATTTTCACTTGATTTATTTTCTGTTTATCTCTTTTTAGCTCAAGTAAAACAGGCTTTGCTCCTGGCGTCGAAAGAAGAACAAGGAATGCGATTTGGTGAAGAGTTTGAAAGGCGAGTGTGGGAGCCTTGAAGGACAAGCATTACAAGAGAAATTGAAATAATATGCAGGATATACAGTACCACAAAAAATTATCAAACGAAACAAGTAGAAAAGACATATAATAAGAGTAGAAGCACTCCTGTGCAACCATTCGTATTTCGCTATTTTTCGCATCTGCGAAATTTTCGCAGATGCGAAAAATAGCCGTCGTAGAATCACTGAATCAGGCCGTAATGTGGACGGTGAAGTACAGCCCAGAAGACCTCCCAGGGAGAGGGGTTTTCTGCATGACGAACAAAATAATCCCATTGTTCTGAACACAAAAGGAATTGTCAAATAAGTGAAAGTGGAGAAAGTTTGAAACGTGGCATTACAGCGTGGTTTTTAAGGATCACTGTAGGTACTAAATTTGCTAGTAAGCTGTCCCACTTTGTTTGCAAGACGAGAACCAATAGAGAAACAGTCTGTGGTATTCTTACCTTTGCTATAAGACGTCCATGTTTGTCAAAGCAAATATATAGAGACTTTTTCATGCCTCTTATATGAACTTTACCAAAGGAAACTGTAAGGATTTCAAGATCAGCTGTATAAAAAAGACGGAAATTCAGTTCAATCTTTTTCAGTCATGTTTAGTTAACAGAGCAAAACTATAAGTTGGTGAATAGTGAAATTTACTGAACTCTCCAGCTCATTCATAGTTCGTAATAAATAATAATAACGGTAATAATACATCAGTATCTCACACTCATTAATAATTAATGAGTAAATTAGCCAACCATATTTCTTTATTTCTATCAAAATTAATTCAGTCCTTGGACTGGACCAAATTGGTCATTTCAAATTCTCAGCATGTCATTTCAAATTCTCCATTTCGGACTGAACTAGATTTCAAGGTCTCGCATTTTGAACCAGTCCTCTGCTTGGCCTCGGACTGGAACAAATTGTGCAGGCTTGAAAGCAAGTCCAAGTCCTCACAGTCGGATTTGAAATACTATACACGTCAAACACAGAGTACTGTTTCAAGGAGCCGACGGTCGCGAATGCTGTATAAAGTTTAATGATTCGTCTTGATGAAAACGCTGCCTCGTATTTTTCAATAACCTCAAAGTCATGAATGATATTTGGCGGGAAAAAGAATCTAAACGTTTATGTAAATACAAACAAACTCCTTCATGGTCATGATTTTCTTTGGCTGCCTTCATTCATGATCGTTGAAATGTTCACAAGCGTACTGAAAGTACCCCCCCCCCTCCCCCTCCCTTCCAGTGCGTGCTCTTAAATGTTTAAGCACCGCCCTCCCAGTTTATATAAGCACCTCCCTTCCAGTTTAATTATGTGCTTACAAAGTTCTATATGTTATATGTTTACAATCAACAAAACCGTTTTGATTACGGAAACGACTAAACCGGTGTTCAATACCGTTAAGTAAGGAAAATGAGATTTAAAGATAAGAACCATATATCCGCTTTTATAAGGCTTAGCACTTGTTTTAACACTTCACTTGACAATGTCGATACCCTTTCAAAATTCCCTCCTCCGTGCTCTAGACTTTAGAGTCTAGTGAAATGTAAATTATTTTTTATAGTTTAATTCTGGCGTAGGAAATCAGAAAACGAGGAAAATGGTTACAGCAAATTTTTAAAATTCTTTTTTACAATTCTTCGTCATATTCACTGGCTACAACTACCATAATACTTTTTCACGGATTTGGGGTGTTGGTACGACAGTGATTCCCGCATGTGCCTTTAGATTTTCCGAACTGGGTTCAATTTCTGGAATATGCAAATTTTTATTATAATTTCACCTCAGTCGCATATGAGAAGAAGTGGCGCGTGCTTCCATTTTCATTTTTGCTCCGGCACCAAGTTCCACTTTCATTCCTACTGCCGGGACTTCTATCGGGAAGGTAGTTTAGAATCAGTTTAAATAATTCAGTATAACTCTTTCATTTTAATCATGACTTTCAAAACTTCACTGTTTTTTAACAAAAAACTACAAATGAAATTTAAAGCCAACTTCGTCGGAAACTAAGGGACCGGTCA